GAAATAGGGTGAATACATCTCATTACATTGATTTACTGGTAGTCTCGAAACCCTACTTTAATACGAATATTCTCTGTCATTGTTGTCATGACTAGTCTCAGCCTGGCACCATTGACTTGGCACACACACGCACACAAACACACACAAATACACACATTTGGAATATGTACGTTGTGAATTGGTGCGATCAAGTCGAACGAAACGGCGTACCGTCCGGTCTTGAAAGCGGGACTTGAACAAGTGCAGGGTCGAAACCAAGAGCAACAGTCGCCAAGACGTGTCTGGCGATGGGCGAAAGAGTCGCTTACTGAATTTCAGGTCCGCGAGGTCGTCGAGCAGCCGATGGCTCCTCTCGAGAATGCCAACCTCGGCCAGGACGACCGTTCGAGCCATCAGCCGGTGCCTGGCAGCGGAGCCGACGCGAGGGCGGAAGGCGGCGCGTTGTTGGGTGCGCAAGCTCGAGCGCCCAGTTGACCCGTCCCGACGGTCCGTTCGCCCATCCGCGAGGCTCGAGCTGGACCCGGACGAGACTGGCCGACCGGCCGGTGGACAGGAGCCGAGCTCGAAGAGGCAGGGATCAGAGCACTTGCGCCAGGTCTCGGCTGGCCGGACGCAATCCTCAACCTGGGAAGGAGACAAAAACGGCAAACAGTTAATGCCTACTCACAATGAATATAAGTAGTTATGAAGAGTAGGTGGAAAGTGTATGATAGAAAAATGGTGACATGACAGACGAAAGCTCTAAGCGAGCAAGGATGACGTATTCTCCACAAAAGACTGCAGAAAAACGGGAATTGACCGGAACCTTTCAGTGCAAGGAAGTACCAACGAGTCTCTTGCCAATGTCCGTTCTTACGAGACTTTCATTCGTTAGAATAAGCAAAAGTGGCATAAGATGATGAAGGAATAGGAAAGTCGATTGTAATGGCCAAATATAGGTTTGCATTTGTAGGCTGCGCTCAGCCCATTTCGTTTGAGGTGATGAAGGACTATTTACGAAGAAAAGTTGGGTTTCGAGGTAACTTCTGTTTCATAATTGTTGAGTTTATTTCCATTTCGAGTGAAAGTGTTGGGTTGAGAGATTCGAAGGTCGGTTCCACCAGAAGACCAACTGTCGATTGGCTTTACTGCAACATTCATGCCGAAGCTGTTTCCGAGGCAATCTCCTACGATTCCGGCGAAAATGTGCCAAGCTTTCTTCCATCGCATGACGAACATCATCAGAGCAAAGTATCGTCGTCACAACCAAATTTAAGCTAACGAGTCGAAAATACTCACCAGCAAATCGCTAAAAAGTGGTATATATAC